CCCGCACTCTGGTCGGGTTGGGTCATCCCGACAACCCGAGCAGGTCGGGTCCGGGTTGAAATGTTCGACCCGTTTGCAAAAACGGGTCGGGTTCGGGTTGACCCGTTTAGATCCGGATCAGCTCGGGTTCGACCCAAATCCAACCCGTCGACCCGAATTGACACCCCTACTCTCACGCCCATTATATTAACTAAAAAATAATTTTATTTATATTACAAAAATTAATTAAGAATTGCTTTTAAAAATATGTAATTTATACTTTAAATATTTTGAACTCGAAACTTCACTTAGTTAGTTAGTCGCACCTCATTTTGGCACTTTAAGTTAGTATTGTTTATATAGTTTTTTTTTATTTGTAAGAGGAAATAAGTCACATGAATGATGTAGTCATATGAGTAAGCTTAATTCGAACTTATTTGACAAGTGATTATTATAAGTTTAAAAGTGGTTTTAAATTTTAAATATTATATTTAAATTAATCACTTTATATTAAATTTATTAAACTAATTTTTTTTAATTATATAAAGATGATAATAGTTGTACCAACCCGATTTTCTAAAATTGGGATCAGTTTAAAGGTTTGGTAGTTGAAGCGTTGGTTTTATTTGGTTCAATGTGAAACTGTTCTTAGAACAAATTCGGGCTAGCCAGTCGATCATCTAAACCATGTTGTCCCCGGTTTTCAAAATAATGGCAAAATATATGTCAAAAATAAAAAAGATTATAAGGAGAATAAGCAACATATATAAACTTAAGAAAAATAATAATGCTTGATATAATGAGACATATTATTCAAAATCTTCCACTTCTTACTTTTCGGTCTAATGGAAAAATAAATTGTTTCAATTAATAATATTGCCAGTCAATGCTTTATTTTTGAAAATAGAATTATTTCTTTCTTGCCAAATATAGTTAGCAAAAATCTGCACGCTAAAAGAAAAAAACTTTTTAGTAATTTTGCAACTAATAGTGTTAGAATAATTCATAATTTAGTGAAGTGAGCCACCAAAATGAAAAAAATTCACATAAGGGATGAATTTGTTTTTAGTATTAGAAGAGAAACCTCATTTTCAAAGGATAGATGTGTGCGACTTTCATTAAAATTCATACATAAAGCACAGATTGGATTCATCACCATTCCCCTTCTCAAGAAACATCAACAATTTTAAGCCCTCATATCATAATTTTCCAAGCCAAGAACGCATAATTAATGGAATAACCTTTGAATCAAATATAATTATGTCATCCAACATTCGAAGTATTATCATAAACTCTGGGTTAAAGATGCATATTGGAGAAAGAATTTCCCCAAGCAAATGACAGGAGATGGGGGTACTTGGAAAATTTATATTTAGAATTTGTTCCAAACATTGTTAGCACATAATGGGAAAGAGCAATGTACGTCAGTTATAAAGTCAAAAACCTTAGCCACGGGACTTCAGTGAAAGTAGTCTAAGACATGGGGACCAAATGTTTTAAAGAGGGAAAAGCCATTAAATCATTGTTCATAAAAAAAGGAGAGCTGACAATCGTTTCCAACCTTATACTTGATCATCTTTTTCAAATTGTAAGCATAGTTGTGCAAGTGTTTTAAAAAAATTGATAAGTTGCTTGCAGGCTTAAGCCAAATAGGCTTGTAGACTTTATTGCACCAAGTAGTTAAGGGGGGAGAAGTATTATAAAGTCTCCAAATGAGTTTAGCTTTAGCAAAAGTGTAAAGATTGTCAATAGATGAAAGACCAAGACCCCCTTATTCCTAGGAAGGGTAGTAAACTTGAAAGAGATAGTGTGAATCTTGTTATTGATGTCATTCCTATATAAAAATTTATTGATAAGGCTATTAATTTTATTCCTCATGCCCTTAAGAAGTGTAATCCATCTTAGCCAGTAATAGAGATAGTTCCAAATGGTGGAGTGCACCAATTGGAACATAGTAGCAAAAGAAAGAAGTTTTGCTTCCAGTCACTAATTCACCCAAAGAGTTTATCCATAATTGTAGACTATCTAGTAAGATTTAGTTTGAAAGGAGATAAAGGGATTCCCAATTAATCTCAAGAAAGAGATTTGAAATTCAAGCCTAAATTATTACTAAATTGATCATGTAAGTCAAAATTGATAGATTTTAATAAGCAAATAATAAATTTATTAAGATTAATAGAGAGGCCAGTAGAGTTTTTAAAAGAGGTCAAGTTGGTGTCCAAATGAAGCACAATGGAGATATTAGCATGCCCAAACACCAACAAACAGCAACATGCATAAGAGGGATGCTTTAGCCTTATTCCATTAAATGCAAGAGAAATAAGAGTTAGAGCAAGAAGATTCCATCAATCTAGAAAGGCATCCATGACAAAAACAAAAAGAAATGGGATGGGATAGAGGGCATCCCTATCTTAAACTGTTTTTGGACTTAAAGAAACCATTCAACTCACCATTAATAATTATAAAAAAGGAACATGATTACTTCAAGCTTTGATTCAATTCACAAATAAAGTAAGGAAGCCAATATCGAAAAGTCATACCTATTAACATTATCAAAGGCCTTATGAAGTTTAATCTTAGCACATAATGCTCTTGGAGCAGAGGTTTGATTGAAGCCCCTCAAAATCTCATTGGCAAGGATGATGTTATCAACAATGTCTCTCTTAAAAATGAAGACATACTAAACATGTTGTATGTGATTAGGCAAAGGCCTTTTAATCTATTGGCTAGGAGGTTTCACAATGACTTTGTAGGTGACATTATATATTGATATTTGTCTAAAATTATTCATAGTCCTAGAATGAAGATGTTTAGGAACCAAAGTTATATCAGTGTTTGACCCTCCCATGTATAGAGGTAGTGTTGAAGAAGTATCTTATAGTAGTAAGAAATGACTCCCCAACAATATTCAAGGAGTCTTTAAGAAATTAGGAGGAGAAGCCATTGGGGCCAAGGACCTTATCATTCCTAATATTAAAAAGAGAAACTTTCATATCCTCATTAGAAAAACTCATAGTAAGAGAGGTTTGCGGATCTAAGGACAAGAGATGGTCTAAAAGAATAGGGTCGCTCATTTGCTCAGAGTAACAATCATCACTGTTGAATAAAGAGGTGAAGTAATTTATGTCTTCAATA